AAAATGCTATAAAGCCCCTGGTAAATGTGAGATAGATTGTTGTTGGAGTTCCTCCCTCAAAGAACATACTTTTTAGGGTAGAATGCTTATCATTCAGACAAGAATCAAGGACCAACAAACTCACAATTGTCCTTTCTCGAACTTTCTCTGAAGCACAACAGATGTCTGAAAGTTTAGATTTAGAAAAAGACTTCCTTACTAATAAGTTATCATAAAATATGTAACGACTATGTTGGCAACTAAGTAAATTCTCAATATGAATTTATAATAAGCAATATCTAGTGTAGATTAAACACAATGTAGTTTAATTCTGATCATTAAGAGATGATAATCTTAGTTTAAGATTTAAAATTTGAAATTAGAGCCTGATTCTTACAAAATCAGATGTGAGTATAATCTGTTTTTCTTGATCTTTAATATTTTCATTGCATAAATGTATTCATACACTGTCTCCATCACATAAGATATTCAGAAAGTTTATAATAGAAAAACATAGAATTTACAATTTATCAATTCATCACTAAATAAAAATAGAAATAAATTTGTCATTCATGAACATTTTCCAAACATTTTGTGACAAATTCTCAGTAAAAATCTGTTCCTTTTAACAAAATAGAAAATGGCCTTTGGCACTGAAATCAAGATAATGCTGCTAATAATTTTTCAGTATATATTAATTCATTTAATTAAATACTTTGATATTAGTTTCATCATAGAAATACTCATGAATTGTCAAATACTAGTTTCATCATGACAATACTCATAAATAGGCAAAACTATGTCTATGAATATTTAAACAAGACAAAAAATATTTTCAAGTATTCTTCAAATATTTACAATGTTCAAGAAGTTTAGCAAAGACAGCTTGTTCTATGTTCTACATAAGCACTCACTTTATATTGCTTTGATTCATATCCTAATTTTTATAGAGAAAAAATAAAGTATACTTTTCTAATAGCAATAAAAATTCTGATTAAAAAATGCCAATCTTCCTCACTGAATTTGTTTGCTAAGACACATAATTTTGTTGCATATTTCTATAATTGTAAGCCCTCTTTTCTTTGTACAAGTAATCTGAAAATATGAAAATAAAATGTTATTGTAATAAGGTATGGTTCACCGTCGTTTTAGTTTATTTCGGATCAAACTAGATCCTAGATCCAACTGTTTAAACATCAACTTTACCCATTTCTTAATACCTACATGTTTTGATATAACAAAACATTTTTTATATATTACTATATGATGCTTTATCAGTTATTAGCAGGGAACTTCATAAAACTTGAAATATACATTAGCTTTAATCCATCTTATGAGGTTGGTTTCAGAATTTGCAGTCTTTCAGGAATTATGCTCATTTTTAAAATAATCCGCATTTGTGTGTTGTGCACGTGCATGTGCCTCATTACTTTACAAAAACTTGTTTCACCAGTAAATTCAACAATTTTAAACTTCAATCATATATACATAATTTTAAGGAAAAAATGTTTAGAAACTATGTAAATTATTTTGCTTGCGTGTGGAATATTACCAATTTTGCCACAATTGGCAAGTATTTTTGAATGTTATATTGCATTATTTCCTTATTATGTAGGGTTTTATCTCCCTTATTTGCTTATAAGGAGTAAAAAATGTCAACTTATTTGAAATTTACATCTTTGATAATATTCATATAGAAGCAAAATACAGAAAGAACAGGAAAATGTAAGTGAAATATGCATTTATAATTTTCATGTTGATTGTAATTCTGATAGAGCACTTACTTTGAAGCAGGTATTTTGCTTATATTATCTCTAAATTTTTTTAACATCTCAAGGTAGATTATATGTTAATTTTACTAATGACAGGCTTAAAGAGATCAATTTAAATTTGAAGATACAGTTTAATAGCAGTAGGGTGGATAAATTTTTTTGCAATCTTCAATTCCTTCTGCCTCCTAAAAATGTTTTACACGCATTCGTCGCTTAATGACAGGAGTATGTTCTGAGAAATGGGTCCTTTGGCGATTTTGTTGTGTGCACTTCATAGAGTGTACTTACACAAATGTAAATGGTATAGCCCTCTACACACAAAGGCTATATTGTATAGCCCATTACTCCTAGGCTACAAACTTGCACAGCATGTTACTGTACTGAATACTGTAGATAACTGTTAACACAGTGGTAAGTATGTGTGTATCTAAACACATCTAAACATAGAAAAGGGTCAGTAAAAATACAGTATTAAAATCTTACGGGACCGCCGTCATATATGTGGTCTGAAATGTCATCAGGCAGTCAGTGCAGGACTGCCATTTCTTTCACTGCTACAAAATGAAGGCTAGGGAGATAAAATTCATTTTCATACCCCTATCTCTTCTCACCAACTTTTTTTTCATATTGTTTGGTCATAAAGATTTTAATATTCACAACTGAATATCAGTTACCTTTAAGTAAAATGCAAAGTGTCTTCAAAATCCAGAACTAGAAGAATCACAAAACCAGTTTCCCTGGTACTTTGTTTTGTAATATATAATAAATATTTGAAACTTTTGGAATATGCCGTAATACATTTTATTCCCCTAACAATTCTACTCATATTTTTCCCCCCAAAGTGTTTTCCATCATCGAAGCACTTTTACACCCGTAATTTTTATCAGGCACAATTACTTGGTAAGCAAAAGTGCTATTCGTTAACAAAATGCAATAAAAGTGAGCTTAGAACATTTGTTGTTAAAATTAGTCGTATTTTTTCTGCCACTGAAATCACAACTGAGACTTAAATCTCTTTGGTATGCAAGCAATTTATAATTTCTTAAAAGTTCTTAGCCAAAATAAGGCAAATTGGCTGGGCACTGATTAAGCACTATTGTCAAGTCCAAAATATAATAAAAATGATGAAATGTTTAGAGTATCTAATCTTTACATTATTTTAAAAGATCACTGTTACATAAAGCTAAAAGAAAATTATAGTTTACATAGGATAACCAAAGCCAAATATTAAAATATGTAAGATATACGTACATGTATATCTCTTAAAGAAACATAAAAATTTAACACACTTAAAATAAAATTATAGTTTACATAAGATAACCAAAGCCAAATATTAAAATATGTAAGATATACGTACATGTATATCTCTTAAAGAAACATAAAAATTTAACACACTTAAAATAAAAGGCGTGGGAAACTTTTAAATTATTTTTAATGTGTCAGATTTATTTATCATTTCAAAGGATCACCTATAGGCAGATACTTTAAAATTTTTCCGGGGGGGGGGGGAAACGAATCAGTATATTTTAGATGTATATGGACTGGAGGCAGGGGTACACATGAGTTCCTAGTTTATATATATTCTTCTCTTCTTTATAAAAACGGAGTACTTTATAGGACACCCAAGTAATACCGATTTATAAAAACAAATACTGTATTTGAAATGTTGGCCACATAAGAGATAATAGCTGAAGACTTTAAGAGATTGAAGAATGGACAACGAACTCAACTAACTCAAAACGCATTATTCATCTCTCAAAAACACACACACACACACACACACACCCACACAACAGATCCTCACAACACCCAGAAAGGTTCAGGAATTAGGAGTGTTTACTGGCACCCAGTTCTTGCTGTTTTAAAACCCGCCCCTCCGTTGCTAGGCCTCTCTCCATGGAATCCGGCAGGGGCAAGAGGCAGGTGCTCAGTGCACGTGGGGACTCCAGAGGGCCCTGGCATCCTCTCAGCCTCGGCCGGGCGATCGTGAAGCACCACCCGGAAGTGTCCGCTGGCGGGACAGGGGGCGGGGAGTACAGCGGCCCAAAGTCTGCGCCCGCCGAGCGGCCCAGGGCATGGGCGAGGTGGGGGGAGCCGCCGAACGGAGGAGGTGGGGCCCGCGCGAGGCCCCGCCTCTCCCCCGCAGCGGCCTCGGCTACAACCAGGGCCCAGAGGGCTCCGGGTCCCGGGCGTGGAGGCCTGAGTCGGGCTCCCGCGGAGGCTGCTCCTCCTTGTCCCCTTGGGGGCGCGGCCCCCGCTGCTCGAAGTGCAGCTGCAGCAGGGCGCGGCGGTACATGGCCTCCAGCTTCTCAAGCCGGGCCCTCAGGGCCCTGGGGCTGCCCGGCTCGTCCTCACGGCCGCTGCCTCTCTCCTTGCGGTTCGTGCTGGCCTCCTCGGGTCCTGGGTTTGCCTCCACGGGCGCCCCGTCGGCGTCTTCGCCGGGGAACCGCAAAGCCTGACGGAAGAGGCTGCGGTTCTCGCGCTTCAGCCTCCGGTTCTCGAGCCGCAGCCGGGCGTTCTCCTCGCGCAGCCGCGCGTTCTGCCGGTCCCGCTCGTCCCGCGCGCGGATGGCCTCCAGGTGGCTCGCCGCCAGGTCGGCAAATCGCTCCTCCAGCTGCTGTCGGGCGCCACCCGCACGGCCTCTCCAGCCCACGCCGCCGCTGCTGCCGCCACCCCCACGAACCCGGCCTGGGCGGCCTGGCCCGCGGCTGTCCCCGCCGCCATCCCCGCTGCTGCAACTCCCGCGCCTAGTGGCGCCACCACGCATGCGCCACATCGGTCCCGTCCCAACCACGCCGCCAGCGCCGTGGGCCGAGGGGCCGCGCGCCGAGGCGCGGGCGGTTCGGGGCACGGCAGGGCGGCTGAGGCGGCGGCGGCGGAGGAGGAGAGGAGGTGGCGGGCGGTGGCTGCTGGCTTGGAGCCAGAGGAGGCCGGGAATTTGCCCGGGCTGAGGCGTGTCCTGTCTCCTGTGGTGGAGCTGCCCCCAGGGCCTGCTATCTCTGGGCTTTGCTGTCACACAGTGTCCCCCGGGAGCGCTTTGCTGCTCAGCCCTCTGGCCGCGCGGGGAAAAGCGTGTATCCTCTGCCGGGTTCTAGCAGGGCGCTTCCGTGCAGGCCTGGGCGCTGCAGCAACCAGCCGTCCTTGCCCGGCTCTCGAGCGCAATCACCAGTGGTTACCTTGCTCTTTATATGGTAGTCTAAAAACTACTACTACTAATAAAATGATAAGTTCTGGGACAAAGCTATGGGGCAAAATGAAAAGCTCTAATTACTTCACTTAAAACGTAGCCGTTTACCCCGCCCCTATGCTGCTTAAAACATTGAACAGAATTGGGCTGAGCATCTGTCATAGGGCTCTCAAGTGGCAACAGGTGGCTCTCGAAAGAATATAGGCAATCCCCAATTTGTGAATAGCCAGGAATCCACTTTGTAAATTGTTTGGAACGGTATAGAAACAAGGTTATAGATAGTCAATTTGCTCAGGCCAGTCTCCAAAACCTATGAAATTCAATATGTACCCCGTTCATTTAAGGAAGTGAACGCTCAGTAAATTCCAAAATGTGTGGGAACAAGTAGATGCGACTCATTGAATGACTCGTTCCTTTTTATCAAGGGTCTCAACCTACAAAGTAACTGGATTATTCCAAAGTAAATTGAATATTAGGTACTGAAACTAGAATCTCATGGGGGAGAGATATGGTAGCAAGAATCTGTATTTTTAACAAGGTTTCAGGGAATTCTCAGATTCACCAAAATCTCCAAACCACTAGAGCAAGTAAACTGAACAAAAAGAGCATTTAAGAACCCTAGTTCACAGATTTGGGGTTTTCATTGAACACTACAAATAAATAAGTAAATTTGGGGGAAATACAGAGTTATTTAATTTTTTTACTCTCAATTATTTCATGAACTAAAAAAGGAAAAATATAATTTTAGAATTTCAAAAAATATAGTAAATTTAGTTTTCTGAAAGACCAAATCATTCTTAACTTCCATTGAGAGTAGACAGTAAAAACTTTGTCAGAGACAGGAACTGACTTATCTAAGGACTATTGAAACAAGAATATGTTATTTCTTGTACTTTTTATAGAGAATACAGGGGAAAATGCTGGTATGTAAAGAAAGATGATTACTTCTCTGCTTCAGACATGTTGAATTTTAGGGGCCTGTGAAATAAAAAGATAGCTATGCTTCATAAATTATAGAAAAAAACTGCATTAGAAATATTCATCACCCCCTGGGTATTATGAATTGAGTACTAATGTGTTTTGTTTTTGTTGGCTTCATGTCTCCCACCCCACATTTGTAAATCTACTAGTATTGTTTTTTATTACTTCCCATGTTAAACCTGCTTTGTTTCCCTTGTAGGATATCTTCTAAATTTTTGTTACTAACTATTGTAATGAATCATAATGGGTTTTTATTTCCTAAAGAACATTGGCCCCCATCAAACGAGAAGGCCGCTAAGCTCTCTTCTCTACACCCCAGCCAACCTCTAAGTACCCTCTTTTGTCTTTGTAAATTACTGAAGCAATGTGACATGTTATGAAAAGCAGGTAAAACTGTTTAAGCAGAATAAGATCCCATAAAATTGCCGGTATGTTTGATGAATTTTCATAGTAAACAATCTGATTCTATAGTATATATATCCTCCCAAAAGGCAGAATTCATTAATACTGCCACTGTGACTTAGACAGATGGCATAGATAACTTAAAAGAAGAAAGGAGGGAGGAAGGAGTGGAGGTAAGGAGAAAGAGAAAGTAAGAAGGAAAAGAAAAAATAAGAAAATATTGATCGGACAAAAAGCTTTTAACAGTCATGAAGTTTATCTTGGATAGTAATGAACTTATGATCAATGGAGATTGCACCAATCTTCCTAAAGAGGAGGTAGAGACAATGTGATTTCTAAGTCGAAAGAAGATTTGGGACAACAAAGTGACTAAAATGATCACTGCCAAAATTAAATACCTTTATTCGGATTTATTTGAACTTATTTAGAATAATGTCAAGAATTGTATACCTGAAGACAAACATTACATATATTTCTAAAAATGTTAGCAAAAAATTAGTAAAAATGCTTCTCCCCACTATAGTTTTTTAATGGCCTACATATAAAAATATTATTGAGCAAATAATGTAATATGCACCTGTATATGAAAATGAAAAAAATCTCAGAAAAAAATTATGGAACTGATAAAATGTAAAAGAAATGTAGGGCTACAATAATTCTTAAAAGAAGAAAATATGGGGAAAAAAATACGAGCTTTTGATTTAGGGAAAAAAAAAAAAAAGATACCTGTGCTTCCTAAAAGAATGAAGAGCTTCTAAACAGTAAAATTGCTTGCTTTGCCAGATAGAAGAATGTCACAAAGGACAAAGATAGTTCTTTCCTGACATTGTGTCTATCGTTGTCCCTTAAGCTATTTTTACTCAAGAAAAAGAGGTAAGAATTCTCCTATAATTAATTTAAAAGTTTTTCAAGTAAAAAATAAAAACTCCAGTGGACTACTTTCTCTTTTTGTTTAGGAAACTCTGAAACTAAAGATTATTTCTTGACTAAGTTTATAGCATTTGAAGTAAACGAGTAGAGAAATGCAAGTACAGTAGTCCATTGTTATCCTAGGGGATACATTCCAAGACCCCTACTGGATACCTGAAACCTTAGATGGTACCCAGCACTTTATTTACATACGGTCAGCTCCCTATATGGGCAGGTTCCACATTTGTTGATCCAACCTTGGAGCAAAAATATCTGAAAAACAAACAAAAATATAAATTAAAAATAACAATACAATAGAAAATACAATATAACAACTATTTACACAGCATTTAAATTGTATTATGTATTATTAGTAATCTAGAGATGATTTAAAGTATATGGCAGGATGTAAACATATACTACACCATTTTATATAAGGTCCTTGAGCATATTCCCAGAGGTCCTGCAACCAATCCCTGAGTCCCTGAGAATACCGAGGGACAACTGTACTGTTTTTTCCGTTTGGTAATCGAGACAACTACTAAGTGACTAATGGGCGGGGAGCGTAGACAGTGTGCATGTGCTGGACGAAGATGATTCAGACATTTGGCAGGACTGAGCAGAAGGCAATAGATTTCATCACATTACGCAGAACGGTGTTCAATTTAAAATTTATGAATTGTTTATTTCTGGAATTTTCCACTTAATATTTTCAGGCCATGGTTGATTGAAAGTAACTGAAACTATGGAAAGGGAAACCTCAGATAAGGGGGGACTACTGTAAGTCATTTAGGGTACTTGGTTTTACTATTTCCCTGACACAATTTCTTTTGCTTTTTTTAAGGGACCGTTTTGTTAAGTAGTTAGTACCCCCTCAACACACACCCAATGGCCATTCTTTAATTATTCAACAGCTAAAACATCATTTTAAAAAATTGTTCTGCCTCCTATCTTAGGCAAAAAAAACAAACAAGAACAAGCGAGGTTACAATCGTTGTGCGTCTTAATGCCTCAAGCCAACATTTTTTAAAGTTCTATAGTTGAGAAAAGCTGTCAGGAAATAGGAGTGTGATTATTTTTGGCCCTATACTTCATGTATATGTTTTAGTATTTCTCAAAGCCAATTTTGAATGACAGTTGGTGAATTTATTGCCTTTTCTTCTATCCCTTAAACAGGTTATTCTTTCCATACATGGTATGTGGTATATATTTCTAGGTGCTTGCTTGAGAAAGAGGCCCTATGATATGTGTTAGTTTCCTGTAGCCGCGGTTGATTTCTAAGATTCTTTTATTGCTATGCTCATTTAACTCCCTTTTTTTTTTTTTTTTTTTTTGAGACAGGGTTTTACTCTGTCACCCAGACTAGAGTGCAGTGGCTCATCAGAGCTCACGATAACCTCAACCTTCTGGGCTCAAGTGATCCTCCCACCTCAGCCTCCCGAGTAGCTGGGACTACAGATGTGTACCATCATACCCAGCTAAATTTTTTTAGAGATGGGGTCTTGCTGTGTTGCGCAGGCTGGTCTTGAGCTCCTGGGCTCCCACCTCAGCCTCCCAAAGCACTGGGATTACCAGTGTGAGCCGTTACATCCAGTCCCTATTTATTCATTTTGAATCAAATTTCTTATAAAGTGAGTCAAATGTTAAGGTAATTTGTGGCATATTCACATTGAGATAAGTCTTCCTACATCCAATTTCTTTGTTGCTTCTCTCCTTAATATAGCCTATAATATGTCACCAAATGAATTTTGGTAAACAAATTTAATCAAATTCAATTAAATAACAGTGTTAAACACCCTAGTATGGCATTTAAGGCTGTCCACAATCTGAATGTCCTGGGTATTTCCATTACTCCTATGCCTGGTCTGTTCACTCTCCTACCAAGACTCCTTGTACTCTTTTGTCCTGAAGTTTGGCTGTAATGTAGCTGCTGTAGACTGAATTCTGTCTCCCCAAAATTCATGTATTGAAATTCTGACCTCCAGTGTGATGGTAGTTAGAGATGGTGACTTTGGGAAGTAATTAGGTTTAGATAAGGTCATGAGAGTGGAGCCTATATGATGAGATTAGTTCCCTTCTAAGAAGAGGCACCAGAGAGCCTGCTACCCCCTTCCCCTTTCCTCTGTGTAGGCAAAGCAGCAAAGCAAGAAGGCACTGTCTGCAAGCCAGGAAGAGGGCCTCACCAGGGAACTAAGTTGGCCTGCACCTTTGATCTTGGAATTCTCAGCCTCCAGGACTATGAGAAATAAATTCCTGTTGTTTAAGCCACTCAGTTTTTGGGATTGTGTTATAGCAGC